CATCGAGGGGCCTCTTTAAGCTTAGGTCGGTGCTGCTTCGGGGTCAGTGGGTTGGGTGGGGGGGGGTGGGGGGGGGAGGGAGAGTGAGAGGGGGTGAAGGGGGTGAGGGGGGATGAGGGGGGGGAAGGGCTTGTCTGAGTGTAGTCTCTGTTTTGGGAATTATTTTTTTTTTATTGTTAGTTTTCTCAGAGGTATAGTGTATTAGTGTGTGATATGGGTCATCTATATGTCTGTCTTGGAGTAGCAATTATATAACTTGTACATGTATATATTTACATATATATATCTATCTAATTTACATCTATATATATATCTGTCTCTCTCTCTCTCTCTCTCTCTCTCTCTCTCTCTCTCTCTCTCTCTCTCTCTCTTTTTCTACTTCGCTCTCTCTCTCTCTCTTTCTACTTCGCTCTCTCTCTCTCTCTCTTTCTACTTCGCTCTCTCTCTCTCTCTCTCTCTCTCTCTCTCTCTCTCTCTCTCTTTCTATTTCTCTGTCTCTCTCTCTCTCTCTCTCTCTCTCTCTCTCTCTCTCTCTCTCTCTCTCTCTCTCTCTCTCTCTCTCTCTCTCTCTCTCTCTCTCTCTCTCTCTCTCTCTCTCTCTCTCTCTCTCTCCCGTATCACACCTCACCTAACAGATGCCTCCGTGCACAGGTGTCGCTCCATGGTCTATAAGTACGAGTGGGCAACCGAGGTGACTGTGCAGGTGGAGACCAGCCCAGTAGTGGAACCTCATCACCTGCCGACTCTACTCAACACAGGTGCTGCCATTAAAGGTGAGGACTGGCTTGCAATGGTGCACTTGATACCTGCAACGTGATCTCTTGTTTTTGGGTGGTGCCTGTGGTCTGACACCTGCTTGGTGTCTGTGATGCGGTTGTTGTTAAGAACCGAAATGAAAGATATGTTTTGTAAACATCGCACACATATATATGTACACATACATACACACAGACATACAAACACACGCTGTTGTTAATAACATTATAATCATAATAATGATTCATTTTTCCTCTTCTTGTTCTTGTATTTGTTATCACTTATTACTATTATTACTGTTCTTATTTTGTTATCATTATCATTATTAATATTATTATTTTTTCTAATCATTATTACAATTAACGTTGTTATTGTTATTCATAATATTATCATTATTGTCATTACTACTTCTAGTAATATTGTTATTATCTTTGTTGTTATTATTACATTAGTCATTATCATTATCATACTTAGTAATGTCAGTATTATTGTTATTATCATTATTGATATTATCATTATTGTTATTATCATTAATATCATTATTGTTATTATTATTATTATTATCATTATTATTATTATTATTATTATTATTATTATTATTATTATTATTATTGTCATCATCATTATTATTATTATTATCATTATTATCATAATTGTTATGATCATAAGTTTTATCATTATGATTATCATCAATATCATTATTATTATCATCATCATCCTTATGATAATAGAAATAATGTTAATGACAGTAATAATAATAACAAATAAAGCAATGCTAATGATATTATTATTATTATTATCATCATTATCCTTATCATTATTATCTTCATCATCATCTTTATCGTTATCACCAACATCATAACTATTATCATTGCTATTACTATTTGCAGTGATATTACAATAACAACTACTACCGCTACTACATCTACTGCTACTACTACTGTTACTACCATTATGATACTGATAATGATAATAATAAAAATAAAAATGATAATAATAATAACAATCATTATTACTATTATTATTATTATTATTATTATTATTATTATTATTATTATTATTATTATTATTATTATTATTATCATTATTATTATTATTATTATTATTATTATCATTAAAATCATTATCATTTAACATTATCAATATTACTATCATTATTACCAATATTATTATTATCAATATTATTATTATCATTATCATCATCATTACTATTATTATCATCATTATTATTCTTGATCATCATCACCACTCCCGGCATTACTGTTATCATGATCGCAATCACTGATACCAATTAGTCTGTACTGACATTTTCCTTTCCTTTCAGCGTCTTCGAACAAAATGCAAGGCTGCGTTTGGCTCATAATATTAACCGTGATTTTCTCCTGTTTCGTACAACTTCGCAAACCTTGACCTTAACTGTGACCCAACATGCACAAATAAATAAAAAAAAAAGGAAAAAAAAGAAAAAAAAAAAGATATTGATATATATATATATTTGGACTAATAGACTATTTACTTAGGTATATGAATTAATATGAATGTTGATCTTGATATGGAGAATAATGAAGATAATAATGATAAGAATTGTCGATATGTTTCTTTCGTGTTCTTAAGAAAGTGGAATGCTATCTTTGCCAAATTTTTATGTACGTACGATTCTTTTGTGTGTCAGAATTATCTGTCTTTGGTAACGATTTGTCACCGACCAGCTGTTTCCTATCTTGTTTCATTGTCAATACTGATA